ACTTAGAAGTCTGGCGGCGTGGGCAGTCGCGTTCCCCTAGCGTTTCCGACGCAGCTCGAGTTCCTGCCCCTATTTGACAGCCCCACCTCAAATGTTTTTATTAAGGGGTCACACATTGCACGCTTTTCTTGCCAGGCTATGAGTAGCTTACTTTAATTGTCCTTGCAAATTAAACTTGGACAGATGAAGGTATGTTTATAGCAAAAAAATCGTCTCAGGTTACGTATGTAACCCTAGTTCCTCGAGGGAACGAGACGCTGCGTCGCGGTGCCATACTTCCGGCGTCCCTGCCAGCGCTTCTTTCATTCCTAGAAGCTGACGCTGGTCTCACCGCACGTGCTTTTATAGCTTCCTGGTCATTACGTCACCCGCCGTGACGTCTCGCCCATCTATTGGTCTGATTACACACGAGGTTCAGAGCCCGTCACGCTGAAGGGCGTTCCCCTAGCGTTTCCGACGCAGCGTCTCGTTCCCTCGAGGAACTAGGATTACATACGTAACCTGAGACGATTTTTTTGCTATAAACATACCTTCATCTGTCCAAGTTTAATTTGCAAGGACAATTAAAGTAAGCTACTCATAGCCTGGCAAGAAAAGCGTGCAATGTGTGACCCCTTAATAAAAACATTTGAGGTGGGGCTGTCAAATAGGGGCAGTAGTAGTGTTTTGGAAACAATTGTGTACGGTGCCACTAGTGGTGCAGAAGTTACACACTTTAACTTAAGCCTTACAGTGCATGCATTCACCTCTTCACAAGAAAAGCGTGCAATGTGTGACCCCTTAATAAAAACATTTGAGGTGGGGCTGTCAAATAGGGGCAGTAGTAGTGTTTTGGAAACAATTGTGTACGGTGCCACTAGTGGTGCAGAAGTTACACACTTTAACTTAAGCCTTACAGTGCATGCATTCACCTCTTCACTGGTTGTGATTGACTAACAGGAAGGAAGTTCCAGAGAAGGCTCCTCCCATTCTCAACCATCAGTAAGACTGTTTCACATCCATGGAACAAATGAGTTCAACACACGTGCTGTTGAGGTGCCTCCACGCTCATCTTCTCTGAACTCCAACGATGTGTTTGTGCTCAGCACAGATAAGTGCTGCTACCTGTGGTACGGCAAGGTTGGTAGTTTCAAATGCTGAGAATATCTGGCATATTTCAGAAGACGTTTCTGCATATTTCTTACCTGTCTGTCCTACATACTTGCCTTAAATATTACTGTGTAGGGCTGCAGTGGAGATGAGAGAGAGATGGCCAAATCGCTGGCTGACATCATCTCCAAGAGGGAGAAGAATGTTATTGCAGAGGGTCAGGAACCAGCTGACTTCTGGGTAAACCTTGGTGGAAAATCACAGTATGCCAGCAGCAAAAGGTACAGTAACATTTGCACATTGTACATTGTAAAAGAACAAATTATCTGCTTGGCTCTGTTCCAAATCCTACTGAAACAGAAATGTTGTGAAATATCATTATAAGGTAAAATAACTGTTTTCTATTTAATATATTTTAAATTTTAATTAACTTCTGTGATTTCGAAGCTGAATTTTGTGTTTATTTTTACTCCAGTCTTCAGTGTCACATTGCTTTTATAGTTAAAAATTACAATCATATGAATTTTAATTTCAATAAATGTTTTATTCCACTTTCTTCCATTCAAATTGGAATTCTGCATCTTTTAGTTTAAATTCAATTCAAAGTCAGGAATTTAACTGGAATTTAGAAGGCATTCTCAGCTGCCTTTTTGTCTACATAGGGCAGCTACATTACATACTAAGTCTGCATCTTAACTGAAATGGAACCTTATAAATAAGCGTTTTGAAATGCTGTACATACTGTAGATAATGAATCAGACAAATACAGTGCAACATCAGGGTCCATAAGTAAAAAATTATATTCATTTTCTCCATAGGGAAATAGATTTTTAATTGATAACTTAAAAAAGACAGACCTGTTGTATGGTATATGTCTTTTAAGCCATTATTTATTAATTTTATTTTTTTATTGTGTTTACCATTGTAATTACCATAGGGTTTAGCATTGGAGAATGCATTTTGGCATTGCTTTTTTTTCAAAGGATATGACTGCCTACATAGACACTTCACAAGTTTTAGGACACTGCTTATACATTTCTTCTTTTCTCAGACTTCAGGATGAGAACTGCAATATCACGCCCAGGTTGTTTGAGTGCTCCAACCAGACAGGTCGCTTCATAGCAACAGAGATTACAAACTTTAACCAAGATGACCTGGATGAGGATGACGTGATGTTGCTGGACATCTGGGATCAGGTGAATGTCGGCGTGGTTTTCTCTCTTCACAGTTGTTCATATTCTTTCCAGACCACTAGAAATAACAGCACAAATATGTTCTGTTAGGTGTACCTGTGGATTGGCAAAGGTGCCAATGACAAGGAGAAGCATGACGCAGTGGTTACAGCACAGGAATATCTGAAGTCCCATCCTGCAGGGCGTGACCTGGATACACCAATTCTAGTGGTGAAGCAAGGGTTTGAGCCGCCCACTTTTACAGGCTGGTTTCAAGCCTGGGACCCACAAAAGTGGAGTGTAAGTAGATGACATGAGTTTCGGCATGACAGTTTACTTCACAAGCGTACGGCATAGTCAAAAAAATGTGTTCTCTTTTAGAGTGGGAAATCCTATGACCAGCTGAAAGCAGAGCTTGGCACTGCAACTGATCTCATCAAAATTACTGTGGTAGGTTATTTATTCTTCAAATGGTAGCATTTCACTAGCAATGTCAACGTCATGGGCTCAGTTACATAGGGGATGCATGAACTGATAAAATGTAAAATGAAAAACACCTTCTAAATGCATAAATGTACAGTAGCAAGTGAAAGTGAAAAACGGTTTAACACCTTGTGCACAGGATCTGACCAAACCAACCACAAACCAAACCAACTCAACTAACTCAACTCAAGGGGGTAACTTACCCCGTCCTGTCACAGAAACCTTCCCTCCAGAGAAGCTGGTGAACGTTCAGACAGAAGACCTGCCTGATGGAGTCGACCCCACAAGAAAAGAGGTGAACTCTTGATCTACAAACATCTTTCTTGCACAAATCTAACACACAATTCCAAAATGCAATGAAAAAAAAATGCCCAAAACAATTAAAATTGTATATATGTTGTGTGTATATACAGTATATATACAGTATATATATATATATATATATATGTAATTGAATACAAAACACTTTTAAATAGTAAAAATTCAAATAAGAAATTTCTTACAATACTTTTAAAGAAAATAAAGCTTATTTTTAGGACTTTTTAGGACTGTTGCCTTATGACTATTAAGCTTTGTGCATTGAGGTAATGATAATAAATGAGGCATTCTCATTACCGTAAAGCAGTGGTTCTCAACCTTTTTTTCCACTGGGCTGCACTATGGTCCAAGTGCAAGTCTCACGGGCCGCACGCATATCATTTACATATTATGTCACCAATACAAACCAACCAGATGCGTGACTTGACGCGCGACATTGCAGAAAATGTGCATTCACAAATGTAGCCTATGTTGATCCAAATATGGAAAGCACTTTCGAATTTAATAATCTGAGTTCTCTCCAGAGATGTTTTGTCACATTTCTGCAATTAAGGATGATTGCTGCATAGTATGGGTGTTTCCTTTTGCCTGAACTAGAGCCCTGCATTTCAGCCCGGGCCCAACGGGCCCCGAATTTTTTACGCCCCTAGGGCTTCGGGACAATTTTCACGTCATAGTTAATACGCGGGCCAGGCATCGGGCTTGTTTGTTATAATACATCGTGTACACTCACAAAACAAAGAGTGACAGAGACAGAGACAGTGACAGAGCAGAGCCAATTCATAAAAGAACAATATTTAAAAGCACACGTACAGTATTGTGAGAGTGAAGGAAATCTGCTTGGGAGTGGAGAGATTCGTCCTCGTGCACATGGATCGCATGCTTACACATGCCAGGATCCGCCACTGCCAGATGCAGTTAGAAATTTACTAAAAACAAGCCTATCACAAGACATCTGGTGGGGGGGCACCTGGGGTGGCCAGCTAAATTTCAGGGGGGGGCCGGTGTCATTTATCTAGGTTTAATGTTAAAACATTGTTATATGCTTGAACTGTTTTATATCTATATTATTTTATTTTAGGCAAGTCGTGATGATTTGAGAATGCTAAATTGATCAAACATAGGCTATGATCAACTCACTGTCTGCCGCTGGCCGCTTGGTCTTTTGGCTACTTTAAAAAACAAAAACGTATATTTAACGACCAAAAAATACTCCAAACGTTTTTCTAAATTAACTTAATAAAAAGCGAAACGAAATATAATCACTTTGCCATTACATACAAAACTGAACTATTTTAATATAGCTGAAACAGTAGTATAAGCTGTTTTGGGAGAAGGGGGAAAAAGATGGGCTCGGGCCGGTAATTCTGATAAGCTGTCGGACACGGCCGGGCTAGGGCATATATTTGAGGCCCGTGCAGGGCTCTAGCCTGAACATCTTCAAGTGAGTGCGGCGGGGCAAACCGAAAGTTGATGCCGAAAGTCCAGCACTCTCCTACCTTCACTGCTGCGACTAGCCTACTCTTGTTTGTATGTGTTCCTTCGCTGGCATGTTCCACATTTCGTTTTTCTCCCTTAATAACAAATGTGTCCATTCTGATGCTCAATTTTACCGAACTAATGGCTGCTGATGACTATTTGAATTGAATTCTGCCAAAGTGCACACTTGTAAGTGTTTGTTAAATGCGTAACGTTAATTAGGCCTACAGGTCTACTCGTGTCTGAAAATAATATATGAAAAACTAAATTATTTTACATAACAAAAACATTATAACTTATATTTGTTTAGTACATTTTTTAATTAATGTAAAAACTAAAATTAATTTTAAAACTGAAAGTTATTTTTTAAATTGTGTTCAACATGGTGGGCCACATTTGAATTCGTGACGGGCCGTGGGTTGAGAACCACTGCCGTAAAGCAACAAATCCCATTCTCATTTTACTTTATGATGATGATGATTATTATTATTATTATGAATTATACATGATGGTAGTATATGCCTCAATTTTTTTTAAGTGAATAGTAAAATAAATCACAATTAGAAAAATCTTAATAGCACAATTTTCTTTCTTTGATTTTGGAGTGAAATGTGACCTGAACATGTTTTTTGTCAGATTCATCTGTTGATAAAACTAACACACATCTCTATCTATGCAGGACTACCTCTCAAACGACGACTTTAAACTGATCATGGGGATTTCTCGGATTGATTTCTATGGCCAGCCGTCCTGGAAGCAGCTGAACCTGAAGAAAGAAAAGGGACTGTTTTAAATACATTCCTGTTCTGCGAAACAGACCTCTCATGCTAAACTGTATGAATGCTAGTAGTGGTGCGATGCAAATACACTACAGTCATGATCATTTCTTTTTAGATTTACATGTGATTATTATTATTATTATGAATTATACATGATGGTAGTATATGCCTCAATTTTTTTTAAGTGAATAGTAAAATAAATCACAATTAGAAAAATCTTAATAGCACAATTTTCTTTCTTTGATTTTGGAGTGAAATGTGACCTGAACATGTTTTTTGTCAGATTCATCTGTTGATAAAACTAACACACATCTCTATCTATGCAGGACTACCTCTCAAACGACGACTTTAAACTGATCATGGGGATTTCTCGGATTGATTTCTATGGCCAGCCGTCCTGGAAGCAGCTGAACCTGAAGAAAGAAAAGGGACTGTTTTAAATACATTCCTGTTCTGCGAAACAGACCTCTCATGCTAAACTGTATGAATGCTAGTAGTGGTGCGATGCAAATACACTACAGTCATGATCATTTCTCTTTAGATTTACATGTTTAATTACTTTATTTAAATGTGTTGTTTTGCACATGCAAGTTGATTTATTTGAAATTGCCATATATTATAAAACAGAATTAATTACTTTAAGAGTATATTTTTTTTACAGAATATATGGATGATACAGGAAAATGAAGTTTGCAAATCTGTCTTTTTTACACAGTGATTTGTATTAAAGCTGCATAGTAAACTTCCAATGTAATCTTTCCTTAATGCATCTCAAGGGGACACCTTCAAGCACTGACTAAAAGCTGCTTTACACTTAAGTGGCTTAAGCACTACAATACATTTTTATATACTTCAAGAAAGATAAAAGTTTTATGTGAGGTTAATCATGTATACTGAGTATTAATTATAAAAGACACTTGGAGACTTCTGTATACTGTCTAATGTGTAATTTCCATTGGTATTAATCATTTACTGCTTACAAGAGGCATACCACCTGTCGAATGGAAAAGTCAATAAAAAAGAAAAGACTCATTGTAATGGAAAATCTTTTGCTGCCTCTTTGCTAATATTAAACATTAACTTATGCACAAATTCAATATGTAATTGTAAAACTTTTTTGTGGCCCTAAGCAAAGCATTTGCAACAAAACAGCACGTTACAGTTACTTGTTACAAAAACAGTTTTCATTTAAACAGCATAGAGATCAAAGTTTGAGAATAATAGTCAAATAAGGGCAGCCTACCCTCTTAAAAATAAAAGTGCTTCACGATGCCATAGAAGAACCTTTTTGTCTAAATGGTTCCATAAAGAACCTTTAACATCTGAAGAACCTTTCTGTTTCACAAAAGGTTCTTTGTGGTGAAAGAAGGTTCTTCAGATTATAAAAAGGTAAGAAAGAGATGGTTCTTTAAAGAACCTTTGACTGAATGGTTCTTTGTGGAACCAAAAATGGGTCTTCTATGGCATCGCTTGAAGAACCTTTTGAAGTACCTTTATTTTTAAGAGTGTACTAGCTACTTAGGAAAGCTATCAGATGTTCATGTGTACCACCATTCTAGCTGGGAGGAGAAAAGGCCATTTAAACCCGTCTAGGCTAGTTTGCTGCTCTTCACAATTGGTCTAAAAGCGCCAAGCCAGACCAGACTGCCTGGGAGACCAACAAACCAGCTTATAAGCTTGTTTAAACTGATCTTTCAGCAGGGGTAGTAGTTAGCAAAAAATAATAAAAATAATCTGGGACCTGACAAACTTGAAAAGTCTTTGAAAAACAGACTGTCAATTTTAACTGGTAGAATTACTTCAGACACAAGTACATAAGAACAATGACGACGAATGAATAAATATATGAATATGTCTAATATATGTGTTATAAATGACTACATTCTTGAGAAACTGCAAATACCAATCTTGAGGTGGTTGTAATGGCTGCAGCAAACTTTAGATGGCGTTCATGAGGTAAGGAAAGGCGATGTGTAGTTTCCTGTTTTGTGGTGTCCTGTGTGTTTGGTGTATTATGCTGATGACATTATGTGTATATATAATTATGTGTATATTCGCTGATGACACACAGCTCTATCTCTCATTTCAACCAGATGATCCAACGGTAGCTGCACGGATCTCAGGCTGCCTGGCAGACATCTCGGCATGGATGAAAGAACATCACCTACAGCTCAACCTGGCAAAGACTGAGCTTCTTGTCTTCCCTGCCACTCCAACTCTACAGCATGATTTCACCATCCAGCTAGGTTCTTCTACAATTACCCCATCAACTTCTGTCAGAAATCTTGGTGTAATCTTTGATGACCAGCTGACCTTCAAAGACCACATTGCAAAGACTGCTTGCAGGTTTGCACCGCACAACATCAGAAAGATCAATCCCTTTCTAACGGAGCATGCTGCACAAATTCTTGTCCAGACCCTTGTCATTCCTACTGCAATGCTCTTCTGGCTGGACTTCCATCAAGCACAATCAAACCTCTACAAATGATTCAGAATGCAGCGGCACGACTGGTCTTCAACGAGCCCAAAAGAGCCCATGTCACACCTCTCTTTATCTCC